CCAATGGAGACGTTACTGGGCCCACTCGAGCAAATCGACGATCAACGGGAGGGCCTTTACCTTTATATATTTAAAAAAATTCTCTTACTTTGCCCTTAGTACTTATGATTGAACTTTTTCTCAAACTTTCTCTGTCCTTGTTGGAACTCTCCTTTATTATTTGACTCAGTTTGTCCAACAGTCTAATTATTGTTTCTTTGGAATACTCAGCTTTGAGATTCTAGAGATCTTATTACTCAGAGTCCATTCAAGGCTTTCATTGTCATCCATGAGTGCCATTGAAGTCCTTTTCCTCATTATGTTAGGTATTGTGGTGTCTTTTCAGTATTTGTCAGTGTTGCCCCTTTTTGATGCAGAAGGGATCCTTGTAGAGTATATATGGAATGGGGTTGGTGAAGGACCTTTGATTTGTTTTTTTATAGTGTATGTGTATTTGTGTGGGTCGGGGGAAGACTGCTAAAAAGATAAAGTTAGAGAAAAAGTGTTTGTGTCTTTGTATATATGTAATAATTTTATATGTTGAACAAAGGAAACCAATAGAGAGAACCTAGAGATACAAGAGAGAGAAGATTATAGAAAAATTACCAAAGAACATAATTGGGGATAAAGTCAAGAAAATGGATGTGAGGACTGGTAATCAGAACACACAATTTCAAGGTTGAAGAGAACAACATAAGTGGTTTCAGTGGAGGATAGGGCAGTATATCTAGCAAGTTGAAATGAATAGTTGCAATTTTCTCAGTAAATATTGAAGTTCCTTATGGTAACCAAAGGAGGTGATGAAATAAAAGGCAATAAAACAGGAGGCCAGATGAATGCCACCAAGATATGGAAGTTCGCTTTTAAAAATTTAAAAGTTAAGTAATCAAAGAAAAAACACACTGTCCTCCCGTTGTTCATCGATTTGCTCGAGCGGGCCCAGTAACATCTCCATTGGAGACTTTGTTGTCACTGTGTTTGGCATATTGCCAGGCTCTGCCATGTGGGCGAGATACTCTCGGTAGCTTGCCGGGCTCTCTGAGAGGGGCGGAGGAATCAAACTCAGGTCGGCCATGTTGGCTGCGTGCAAGGCAAATGCCCTACCACTGTGCTATCGCTCCAGCCAAGAGTAGTTTACAGACATAAAATGTTCCACCAAAAAAGACAACTGCTGTGTGGGAGATGAAAATCAGAGCATAGTTGAGTAATAACAATTAAAATCCAAATAACATCTTTTACCAATTTGGGTAATATTCAGAAAAGGTGATATTGAAATATGAGTATGGTGGAAATTAATTAACTGAGGGATATTTGTGCATTCAGAACAAGCCCTGCATTCTCAAACACCATTACTCTGTTCATAATTCAGCTTTCCCCTCTCTGCGAAATACTAATATCCAACCCAACCTAAATATAAATTCTACTCATTGTTCAAAATTCATTTAGAGCTCTAAGAAGCTCCAATATATCTCTCACTTCAAACCAACCTCTAAATCTAGTCTTGGCACATCCTAGTCTTAACAAGGGTTCTTCATTCTATGACTCTTGCTCAAATTTTCCCATCTTATAGTCTACTCTTCTATCAGGATAAATAACATAGATCAAATAATAAAATGGGCTCTTGCACTCTTATATAGATTTTAAACATGATTTCTTCCTCTGCTGAAGAAAGTCTATACCATCTTTCCTTCAACTCCATTCTCAATCTTAAGTCCTGGTTATGATGTTATATAGATTTTCAGTAGTCTTTTCCACAACTATTTTAAAGTTAAGTTATTTTTAACAGTATGTTATACTAATCCAAATTTTTATTTATCATACAATGAACAATTTGCTAGATACTTTTCTTGGTGATGCTAGATATATTTTTTTTACTTCACTTTCACAAAATCCCAAGTGACAAGTAATATTTTAAGTATTTTATGTTTATGGTTTTATTTAATTCCTTTTAATAGCCCTGTAAATTTGAGATCATTTAACTTGTTTCATAGAATTCTACCCATCTGATAGCCTCTACAGAATAATTTTACAATTGCTATTCAATTCTAGGCAGGTTTTGGAAGAAAAAAAGTCTGTTCTAATACGGTGAATGTTGTCGTGAAGACTATTGAACTGTAGAAAATTCCTTGGCTATATTATTATAAGTAGGAAAACTTTTACATACCCAACAGATATTTCAGACTATATTAAAGAAGTGATTCAGTATGTTGAATTAGTAAAGTATTAAAGTATTAGTAAAGTATTAGTAAAGTATTAGTAAAGTATTATTTGGTGAAAAGTATCTAACAGATTAGTTAAGGTTGTAAAGATTGACTTTTCCAGCAGTAAATGCTTTCTGAATAACATAATAGAGCATGCCTTTGCCACAGTGATCAAAAGAGACTAGGACTCTATTTAGGATTAACAAACTCATGTTTTAGTGGAGGAGATAAAACAGTATATCTGTAATAGACATGGATATTTGTGTGGAAGTACCATATTAGGAAACTTTTTTTTTTTATCTTGGAAGCACGTCAAAGAAAAAAAAAGTTTTTTTTCTTTACCCCAGTACATAGAAAATCTCACTGTAACATATGATCAACACTTAAAATTGGTAATGAGAAGAAATTAATGAGTTATTTTTCCTTTCCTCAACTTAGTCTTCAAAACACACTGCATATTTTACACTTGGAACCCATTTAAATTAGGACTAGCCTTCTTTCAAGTGCTCAGTATCGCTCTAAGTCTTGGACAGTACAGCTCTAGTCATGAAAGAGACAAAGTACCCCAGGGGAAAGGCATGACTTGTTAGACACCAATAAAGCTGCTTCCTTGCAGAATATTACCAAGCCAGATGCCAACACGGCCAGAACTCCTGACTGTTTTTATTTATTTATTTTTGCTGGTGACATCAGGGTTCTGGACTTCTAAATTTGTTTTATTGTGGGTCACCTCTAGTGGTTCTCAGAAGCTACTCACTGCTTGTTGCTCAGGATTGTTCCTGGTGGTTCTTGGAATAAGAGTTGGGTAAAAATTTGCCTAACTTTCTAGGGCAGAGTTCATCAGTTTTGACTCATGAATCAAAACTAACCTGTAGGCTGTTTTGTGGCCCATGAATTAAGCATGACTTGCATTTTTGCAGGGATCTTTCTTTAAAAAATGAAGACATATACAGATAATGCAACATAGGCTCTCTGTGACTTGCAGTGCGTACAGTATTTATGATTTAGCTTTATTATTAAAACTTTTTGCTCACTCTTTTTTCTAGGGTAAAAATCAAAAGCAGAATCCTTCAGTTCTTCATTTGGCAACAATTACATTTGCTCTAAAATTTAGCTGCTTGTCTAAAAACTGTCTTAACTAACAAATTGTTACTGGTCTGTGTGGAATATAAACAAATTTCTATTTGTTGATGTGTCTGGTAGCTACACATATCATTACTTTAACCATATCAGTTGTATTCAATAGCTTACTGGTACACTGACTCTTAAGAATTAAGCAGAATTTGTAGCATTTGCAAATTTGATGGGTGTCAAGATTCTCAGTATGGCTCATTTCAAAGTTTCAATATGAATATGACATTACTGAATGAGAAGTTGGTGAGTAAGGTGCAGAGTTAGGAAAAGATGTGTAGAATTGGTTTCCACAAGCTACTTTGGGCCAACTCTAGCACAAAATTGGTATTTCCCTGCTATATATTCTTGTTCTATATTTAAAGGTTAAAACAAATTTGTGTTTCAAATAAAAATTAACAGTAAACAAATGTATGAATAATCAATACATTAAAATTATTAATCAAAAAAACTTTTTAAAATACAAAGTATTTGCGAAACTGGTGTCTACATTTTAATTCCATTGGGATTTTTTTCCCAATAGAGAAGGATTTTAGAGAAATATCAAGTTCCATTTCATACCATATGCATTTCATATACAATTCTCATGGAGTGCTTCAGACTAAGTACTGTAGAGATTTGAGAAAAGTTCCTCTTTCATTTCTTATAGTGAAGGGAGAATTCTAACTCTAAGACTGCTGCCTGAGAAGATTCAAATCTTAATGAATATAGATAGGTGTTTTTGTCATACAAGTCAAAAATCACAGCAATGACAACTGCATTTTTGAATAAATATGTTTTACAACTGAGATCTCTTTGGAGATTTACATAAATCGAAGGATACACATTGAAGGACACAGACGGAAACTATTCAGATTGTTTTCGCCGCACTGAAGCACTGAAGTCAGTGAAAACTCTGACATGCCTTGGGAATTCTTGCTTCTCCATCTAGAAGGGAAGTTTAGTTTTTGAAAGAACTGCTTTTCTCTATTTCTTCCAGCAAACCTACTTCTGAATGGGTCTTCATGGCTACCATAAATGTCTTTGACTGCTTTAATAGACAACTATTTCCTTTAAGATTTCAGTTTTGCTTTTAGGAAGAACATAAGCTCCAGTTTGCATTGAGTCTCATAATAAAATCATGGGCCTCCTGTCTTAAAACATATTGTACAACCCATTACATTTACTCATGCTATTTCTGTTCACCCATTCTGCCCAATTTATATAAACTTCAGAAATATTATCTTATAAAGTAGTAACATTTAACAGGTATTGCAATGCCTAAAATTTGTTCATCTCAAAGGATTGCTATGAATATTCTACCAGTCTCTAGGAGAAATATCCTAGATATTCAGTATTTAATGATTTGTAGTAGAACTCATGCCTTCTTCAGTTCATTAAAATTATTTTGGGCAAAGGAGATAGTACAGAAAGTAAAGTTCTTGCTTTCTGTTTTGGGAAACCATATGTGATTTAAAGTTTCTGGCATGATATATGGTTCCCCAAGCACTACAAGGGGTCATTTCTGAGTATAGAACCAAAAATAGCTTCTGAGAACTGTGGAATATAGTCCATAGTCCATATAATCCCCATACCCACCCCCCAACACACACCAAAATTCTGTCAGTAATTTTACATGTAATAATAATTTAAAGGACTGTATAAAATTAGGGTGAATATTAAGTATTTATTATTTCTCTTGAATCTCAGGTATTGCACTTTCAGATGAACTTGATAAGGTAAGTTTAACCATCAATCTAATGAAAAGAAAATATACAAGTTACATTTTAATCCTGCATATGAAAATTATCAGAAGTAAACTGTTCGAGCATAATTTATTTGATGACAATATTTAAAAACTTTTGAAGCTGTGTACTTATTTTTTTATGAGAGTTATTATATGAACTATTTAACATTACTTATTCTTTTGAGATAAGATTTTCAGAATTTGGTAAAAGAAAACTGAATTAGTTTAGTCACTGACTATATATAATAGATACACACATATATATATTTAGCAAATATAAGCTCTTAACACATTAATAAATTATTTCTATTAGGCCTATACTATTTAATGATGATGATAGGAAAGGCATTTATACTTTTACTTTTTTATAGTTTTATACTCTGTTACTTTTTTATAGTTATACTGGCAACCTACCCATGATGTATTCAATATGCCAAACACAATAACAAGTTTCAAAATGGAGACGTTACCGGGCCTGCTCGAGCAAATCTATGAACAATGGGAGGACAGTGCTATAGTGCTACTGGAAACTTTCATCAGTGATTTTTTTTTCCCTATCAGTTTCAAGATGCCAAGAATTATGATGGTTCCTTGTTGCATTGATTGACAATTGTAAAAGTTCTGAGAAGTTATATGTTTAGTATGTAATTTAATAATAATGCCCATGGAACTTGCTAATGGATTAGATAAGTGTGCTTATAGGGGAAATAATTCAATGATAATTGCCAGGTGGGGATGAGTAAACAGGCAAAGTATTTGCCAAAATTGAAAAATGAGTAAGTGTAAATTTGGCCATTTATTTTAAAATATGAATTATAAAATATTAACAGTACATTTTCATGAAAATCATTTTCTTTTCCAAATCAAGACATGTATGAGAGAGCTACATTAATTTGTGCTTTAAAGTTAGCTTAATTGAAGATTGATTGATTTTCCTGTTTCTGGATTCATGTAAATTTGACTGAAAATTTGACATCAAATATGTAATTAAAAAAGTAAAGAATCATCTAGGAATAGCCTTCAGTATTTGGTGAACATTGCCCAAGATATCTCTATCGGTTGAAACATCTTGAAGTTTGGCATGATTGCTAGAGACAAAAATGGTAAAAATATTGTACAAAATATTATGTGAACATTAACTTTAAAGTTATAAACAATAATGTAGTCTTTCTCTTACTTTAAAAATAATGTAGCACTGTCCAGTATCACTGTAGCACTGTCCTCCCATTGTTCATTGATTTGCTCAAGCGGGCACCAGTAACATCTTCATCATGAGACAAAGCTACTTTTTTTGGCATATTAAATACCTCACAGGGAGCTTGCCAGGCAGAGCCTGGCATATTAGCATATTAGTATTATATAACATATTAGCATTAGTATTAGTATTTTATATATTAATATTACTACTAATGTATGTAATATATTAGTATCATATTAGTATTTTATATTAGTATTATATAACATATTAACATGTTAGTAAATATGAATGTTTTAGTAAGTCATATTTTTAACTTGTTTCATCTATTTCTGTAACTATAACTAGGTGCACAGATAAGTATTGATTATATAAATTTTCAAACAGAATAAGAGCAGGTCTCCACTCCTGGCTTGCTGCTCCTCTAGCCTTTATGTGGATAGCATGTCTCAGCCCCAGCAGATCTGCGTACACCACAGAACTCCTTGTTTTATGGAGAAATTTAATAAGCCCTCCATTTGCAGTTGTATTCTATGTCTAGTTTTACGTACATGCATTTTGGGACTCTTTTTGACTCATTTAATGCCAAATATTATAACACTTTTTAAAGACTCATATTAAAACCAATTATTATAACTTGTCTCAATTTAAATAAAACATATCTATAAGATTCATATATTTTAAAATCCACTTTTTAGTATTCTATTGCAAATACATATTTCTCATTGAACATTGAAAATACATAGAAGTGGGAACAAAAGAAAAAGTTACCTGTGGTCTTTTCATTCATTAAAGCCATTAGTTTTATCACTGTTTTTATCTGTAGTAATTTTAATAAGTGGAATGAAAAAAGATATATAACTAGTGAATGCTCAATGAGTATATATATGCATGAGTATTAAACAAAAATTCTATTATGCAATAGATATCACCATTTTTATTTTTATATCTATTTATGCAATAGTATAACCTATTTTCTACCAAGGTATGCCCAGCAATTACATATACTTGAGCCTCTGTACACTTTAAATTATTAATGAGCTTAAATATTTAAAACATTTTTTCACACCATATTATATCTAAGTTATGGAAAGAAAGAGATGGCAAGGATTTCTGAATTACTATAGTAAACTCACTTTCCGCATTCGATAGATCCCCTCAAATCTAAAATTCTTCACAGTTGAAAGCCACGAGCACGTCAGCTGTTCTTCCCTGGGCTCTTGTTTCTCTCAGAGAAGTCACTTGCCATTTCCTCTTGACAACAACCTTTTCCACTGAGTGAACCTTGCAGCATACTCTTCCCTCTGTTGCAAATACCCTTTTTGCTCATCCTTCCCGAAAATACACATGGGACCTTCATAGTCTTATCAAAACTTTCACTCATGAATCCATTCTCTTACTGAACATCTGGAATTTACACAATTCATACAAAAAGTTATTTAGTGGAGATGAAGAGAACTGAAGTTTTAAGACAATTCAGAAAGCAAAAATAAGCATTTCAATTTGAGGAAGAAGTGGGATCTCTAGATAAATTCACTTTCATATTATTCTCTGAGTAAGAATAAATTCAGATAAAGCAGGGCATTCTTTCCTCCTCTTCAGGAAACACTGGCATTTAATTCTTCTCTTCTGAGACCCCGTGTGATTGGAGAATGGATTGGCCGAGAAGAGAATGATGCTGATCCACTAGCTGCTGAAATGCTACAGCCCCCAATTCCAAGAAGTAAAAATGAACAGTGGGAAAGCGAAGACAGTAGCTCAAGCCCTGCAGGAAGGTCAGCTGAGATTTCTTGTAAATTTTTGAGTACTACCAATCAGTAAAGGTTAGGGAAAAATAAATGCAAGTGCTTGGTTTTAATGAGATCGCTTTTAATGATAGTAACTTTGTAGTAACATTAGATAGAAAATTAAGTTGGACACAGCACAGGGTAAAAACTAATTTTACTCTCTTAATATTAGAGTGTTACAATGCTTGCATTTAGGTTTTGACCTTTTTTTTTTTTTTTTGCTTTTTTGGGTCATACCCGGCAATGCTCAGGGGTTACTCCTAGCTTTGCACTCAGGAATTACCCCTGGCGGTCCTCAGGGGACCATATGGGATGCTGGGAATCTAACCTGGGTCCGCCGCTTGCAAGGCAAACGCCCTACTCACTGTGCTATCACTCCAGCCCCTGGTTTTGACTTTTGAGGTGATAGTTGTTTAGTGCTTTAGTGGTATAGTTTCACATCCCTTCAAATGAATGTTACCACACTGCAACCACCACCAAAATACAAATATACCTCATGATATTACATTGTAATATTTCACCTGCCGGGATTTCTTGTCCTCTTAAATAACTCAGATCTGCAATCAGAAATTCAAAGATTGGTTTTGTTTAACTTTACAACTGTATCATGTACTTTCTACTTTGAAAAAAAGAAATAATTTACTATTTGACTTTCTCCTCCTGATTAATTTTGTTGTTGTTGTTTGAATTTCGGGCCACACCTAGCTGTGCTCAAGGCTTACTAGTGACTGCTCCCAAAGATCATTCCTAGCAGGCTGGGGGAAGCAGATCGGGTATTGGAGATTAAGCTCAGGCCGCCCGATGCACCAAGAGCCATCCCTACTGTACTTTCTCTCCTTAGTTGTAGTTATCACGTGTTTTCATTCTACACTTTTTGTGATGCCTTTATCAGATATTTTGTAAGAAGGTAATGTTAATCTCATAAAAAGTGCTTGGTGGATTGTGAAAATAGCCTGTGGTCAATGTATATATATTTAATATATATAAATATATTATACATCACATAAATATATAATGTATAAATATATTATATAAATATATTAAATATATTATATATAATATGTACAAATATATTAATATATAACATATATAAAATATATATATTATATATATATCACTGTCCTGTAGCACTGTACTCCTGTTGTTCATCAATTTGCTCAAGTGAATACCAATAACGTCTCCACTGTGCAATTTGTTACTGTTTTTGGAATATCGAATACACCTCGGGGAGTTTGCCAGGCTCTGCCCTGTGGGCAGGATACTCTTTGGTAGCTTGTCGGGCTTTCCGAGAGGGATGGAGGACTCAAGCCCGGGTTGACTGTGTGCAAGGCAAATGCCCTGCCTGCTGTGTTATCGCTCCTGCCCATATATATGTGTGTATATATATATATATATATATATATATGAAAAAAACATATATATACTTGCTTTTGGGGTCACACCCAGAGATACTCAGGGGTTACTTCTGGCTGTGCACTCAGAAATTACTCCTGGCAATGGTTGGAGGACCGTATGCGATGCCAGGCATTAAACTCGGGTTGGCTGCGTGCAAGGCAACCAGCCTTCCTGCTGGCCTATCGCTCGGCCCCAAGGTCAATGAATATTTGATGTACAAGTTTGAGCCTCCTGAGCTCTACTTGAGAGGCCAAACGAGAAATAAAATTTTAAGCATATAAAATATAAACAAAGAAAATGCATTTAGAAGATTTTATCCTATTAATTTTTAATAGATAAATAGAGGTAATAGGTCTAGATAGTAGGTAAAACTCACCACTGAAGCCTTCTGATCTTTGTTTTTGTTTTGGAATGATTATTTTAATTATTTGTGATTGATCTATTCAGATATTTTATTTTATCCTTAGAGGTTTATATGACTCATATTTTATTTTCTAATTAAAGGATAATATGATTCTAAGAGCTGGAGCGATAGCACAGTGGGTAAGGCGTTCGCCTTACAAGCGGCCAACATGGCCGACCCGAGTTCGATTCCTCCGCCCCTCTCGGAGAGCCCGGCAAGCTACCGAGAGTATTCGATATGCCAGACACAGTAACAACAAAGTCTCCAATGGAGAGGTTACTGGGCCCACTCGAGCAAATCGATGATCAACAGGAGGGCCTTTTATGATTCTAAGAATTTGAAAATTTTGTAGATTATTTTATTTATTTAATTTTGTTGCTTGAGGGTGTCCCTATTAGTCTCTTATTATCCTTTTATGTTCTTTTGGCAGTATCTGTTTTAAATTTTCTCTTTTAATTTATAAAAAAAAGCATTCTGTGACGCAGGCTTGCACAAGATTGTAAAAAAATTAAATAATTATAAACTGAAATGTGCCAATAGTTAAAAAGTTTTTGTTCATGTTACTTGCTAATAACTCAGAAGAGATTTTCTATGCATAGATAGCCACAGTCACTTTTCAATTTTTATTTTGAGTTTAGGAGCCATCAGTATACTTTCTCAAGGAGAAAACTTTATTTTCTACAATAAGATGTTTTTTTCTTTATCTTTTATTTATCACTTGAATGAAGGAAGAAAATTCAGATTATTTGTTAATGTACTTAAGAAATACAGAAAATTGATTCCATTTCCATGAAAAATAACCTTTAAATTATTCAAGTAGTCAAAGTGTTCTATATAACTTGAAGAGAAACATTTTTTTAAAATCCATTTATTATCTTTTGTGATATGTCAAGTCAATTTCAACTGTCAATGTAATTTTATTTATTAATTTATTTTTGTAAGAGTACTGCTATTTATTCAGCCACTGATTAGCTGGTTGAATTGTGCATGAACTCCACCTTACTTTTTTTCATTTTTTATAATTTTTTTTATTGAATCACAGTGAGAGCTGTTACAAATCTTTTGGGTCTAAGTCTCGGTCATACAATGAAACACCCATACCTTCACCAGTGCCCATTCTCCACCACCAAAAACCCCAGTATACCCCCATCCATCACCCTCCTCCTACCTGTGGGGCAGATGATTTCCAAATTACTCTCTCTCTACTTTGATCACATTCAATATTTCGACACCAGACCCACCATTATTATTTGAGATTTTACCCCAACACTCAGATCTGCTGAAAAGGCAAGAGTAGACAATTTGTGTTCTATTTCTGGTTATGAATAACATATGATGTCGCGTGGCTGCAGTAGAGCCATGTGATTTTGAAATTCCGAAATTTTAACACTTAAATCTGGAGGGATTTCTGCCAAAAGCCACTGGGTTTTGAGATTTGCTCCTAAGTCTCTGGGATCATGGCCATTGAGCAGCTTGATCAGCAGCCAGAGAGGCCATTCCTGGGCAATGACTTGGAATCTGGTTGGGGCGGGGAGACCAGAACCGGCTCCACCCCCATCCTGTGAGGCCCAACATTGTTTCTGCGGGCCCAGCCTGACTGTCCAATGTCCTCTGGAGGATGACGGCCACCGAGCTGCCAAGGGGGATCAGGCGGAGCGACAACACCCTTTCCCCCCTGGGTTGGCCTGGCGACAGTTATCTACTGCAGGGTCTGGACACATTTCTGCCAAAAGCCGCTGGGTTTCCAGATTTGTTTCTGAGTCTCTGGGATCATGGCCATTAAGCGGCTTGATCAGGAGCCAGAGAAGCCATTTGTGGGCGATGACTTGGGGTCTTATTGGGGTGGGAGGACAGGACCGGCTCCACCCCCATCCCGTGAGGCCCTGTGTGTCTCATCACTGGGGGCCCAAACCTGACTATCCAGTGGCCTCTGAAGGATGGCAGCCACTGGGCCGCCAGGGGGAACAGGCTAAGGCACGAAACCTATTCCCACCTGGGTTGGCCCAGCACCGGTAACCTACTGCAGGGACCGGACGCATTTCTGCCTAATGCTGCTGGGTTTCGGGATTTGTTTCTGAGTCTCTGGGATCATGGCCATTAAGCAGTTCAATCAGGAACCAGAGAGGCCTTGCCTCCAATTACATAGCTGAGCCAGAGGTGGTTTGTGAGTGTGTTTCCCACATACCCTACTTTTGGCCGTTTACTTTCTTGGTAAACTTTGCCCCAAGTTTTTGGGGTCTTGCCAAAGGCACAGCAGCAATTTTGGGGTATCTGGAAGTCTGAAGGCACCATCAGGTTGCTGATGCACTTGCCTCACAGGTACAGATTGACCTGCTGGTGGCACCAAACCCCTATGTAATTTTATTTTTAATACCTGACTTTTGAAACCAACTAGACCCTTATCTTCATTCTTTGGTAGATCTTGAGTAATAATGTTAAATAGCAAAGTGTCAATTTTTATTTTGCTTCCATTTAGTCACAATAATAATTGGATCTATTTATTAGAGACGTTAATTTGTCTATTTTCTTTCTAGCTTCAGTGAACTCTTAATTCCTCTTACTCAGTACAGGAAAATCTTTCTTGAATTCCTCGTCAAATTCCTTCCCAGAAAACTCAATACATGAAGATCTCTCATAAATATTTGTTTTGAAAAGTTATTTTCAGTTTCACTTTTTTCTATCTTTAAACTAAGCATTGAGTCATTGCTTGTGAAATGAAGAAAGTGCTGAAATCTTTCCCAGATGTCTCTTTAACCAGAAAGAATAAATGTGTAGCTGAACTAGCTTTCAAGAATTGCAGTAAACTCTGGTTTAGAAAGGATTATCTTTTCCATTGTCTAAAACAAAACAAGAGGTTTTTAAAAATCTTCTTACCTAGAACTCACATAGGTTTGATTTGTATAAATACAAGTTTAATGTGAAATGTTTTAATGATACCAGAATCTATAACTCCAGTAAAAGTTTTTGTCAGCTTAAATATTAGTAACATTACACTATAATTTAACCATCTTAGATATCAATCGACTATATTCTAGGCTCTTGAAAAGATGATAGTTTTTAGAATGACCTCTTCCATTTTTCTCTAGTGAGACTAACATGCCATCAGTGCACACTTTAGGTCAGTTAAGGAGATTCATTATTTTGTCATTTTTAGATGGATTGTTTTAAGTTTTTTTGCCCCTTCTTGTATCTCAATATATTCTGTGTATTGGTCAAGCCTTATTTAACTGGCTGTTACTACAAAATTCCAGTTTTAGTACATACCAACTTCCCCTCATTCAAATTAATACACACATGTAAAATGGACTTTCACTTTAAGATTAGAGGATATTAAATAAGTGGTATTATGTATTATGAACAAATTTACTAACAATTTGAATATCTTGAAGAGATCACTAAGTTCTTAGACATACATAAACTCCCAAGGCTGAATCATCAATAGATCGTTTAAACAGCCGAACTCTGGGACGGGAGCAATAGTACAGATAGCAGGGAAGGTGATGCCTTGCATGCAGCTGACCTGAGTTCAATCCCCAGAACTTATGTGGTTCCCCAAGCCTGCCAGGAGTGATTCTTGAGCACAGATCTAGGAGTACTCAGGAGTAAACCCTGAGTACTGCAAAGTGTGGTCCAAAACCAAAATAAAATAAACAGCCTAGTTGTGAAAAAGAATCAGCAATTAAAATAAAGTTCAAACAATGAAAATGTCCAGGATAAGATTGATTCATCAATCAAAGTTTGAAAGTCCTGTGGATAAAATCTTAAGAGTTTTCTGCTGAAATATTGTTTTAATAGTGTACCTTACCTAAATTGTTTCCTTAATGCCTGCAAATACAACATGTGTGAAGTAGTTGAGCCATATTAATTTGTATAGCTATTTCCTGAAGAATTAAGTGCTGGTCAAAGAAGTGGGGTGGGTTGGGGGCGTTGTGAGGGTGGGAGGGCTACTGGGTTCATTGGTGGTGGAGAATGAGCACTGGTAGAGGGATTGGTACTCGATCATTGAATAACTGAAATCCAAGGCATGAAAGTTTGCAAGCCTACAACTGTGCCTCATGGTGTTTCACTAATAAATAAATAAATAAATAATTAAGTGCTGGTTTAAATTAGAGAAAATATGAAGGCAAATTGGAGAAGCTATTCTAATGGGATAAGATTTAATAACATAGTTTGTGATCCCTACATGCAAAATTTGGGCATTTCTGTGCCTTGTATTATTTTTTTAGATTTTTAAATTTAAATTTAAAGAGTTCAGAAAGAAATGAAAGCATATGAGTGGTAAAAGGAGCATAACTTATTAAAAATTGTGTGTAGAATGATTGCAAGTTTTTCATTACTAATTGACATTAATCATGTAGCACTGTAGCACTGTCCTCTGTTTTTCATCGATTTGCTCGAGCAAACGCCAGTAGCTTCTCACAACAAATTGCGAGGCTTGTTGTTACTGTTTTTGGCATATCTAATACATCACGGGTAGCTTGCCAGGCTCTACCGTGTGGGCGAGATACTCTCGGTGGCGTGCTGGGCTCTCTGAGAGGCGCGGAGGAATCAAACCCGGGTTGCCCGTGTGCAAGGCGAATGCCCTACCCGCTGTGCTATTGATCCAGCTAATGATATTAACAGTTATTTAGTGGTAGGCTACATTTATAATCATTTTGAAACAGTCACCTGGGACCAGAGCAATAGAACACTGGGGAGGGCACTTGTCTTGCAGGTGGCCAGCTTGGGTTCAGTGGTTCAATCCTTTGCATTCCATATAGCCCCCCATGCTTTGTCAGGAATGATACCTGGGTGCAGATTCAGGAATAAACCCTGAGTACCACCAGGTGCATCCCTCCCACCTATGATATTAATATAAAAATTGAGTTTAATAAATTTTATAATCCTGTTTAAGCCATTTTAATAGACATTGCTATAGCTAGGTAATAAATTTCTGAAAATTGCTTGCTAAATCATAGTATAGATTTGCACATAGACTTATTAGACCTTGAAACCCTAATAAGAACCTCTGTTTTTTAAATTTCTATATATACCTTTATTTCCTTAAAGATTTTTAAAATTTTTTCAAAGCTGTTTATGATTGGATTTTAGTCATATAGTATTTCAACACCAATCCCTCCATCAGTATACATTTCCCACTACCAGTGTCCCCAGATTCTCTCCCATCAACCCCGGCCCCCCCACCCCCTGCCTGCCTCTATGGCGGGCACTTTTCTCTTCTCTCTCTCTCTGTCTCTGTTTCTTTGTCTCTCTCTGTCTCTGTCTCTCTCTCAGAGCTTCCCTGTTAAATGACCAAAGAAAATAAGGATATCAATAAATAAAGATCTGATGAACTAGAATGATTGTTAATGAGAATTGCCATGATTATTATTATGGCAAAAGTGTCAATATAAATCTTGTTACGTAGAATTGTTTATTAAGTATTAATAGCTAAATTCATTTTGCACTAATTGACATTTACCATTAAACAGATATTTAGTGGTAGTCTATATTTATAATCATTGAAACAGTCACCTGGGACCAGAACAATAGTTTTCATTAAAACTCATAATGATTTTTATCTATGTGTATTGTGTAGCACATAACCAAAGCATGAAAATGTTTGTCTCTTCTTGGCATACTTATAGTGTTAGCCGGAGATAAAAAGTGAATATTTAGATACTGTATTTTTAAAAGATGATCTCTCTTTAATTTCTTTATTTGTATGTAATTAAATGGGGTGGGAGTTTCCATGTGTTTACTCTATACAGTAGTGCTTTGAAAAATTGTTAGGCATCAAAGTATGTCTGAAAAAGAGGCAGAGTCTGTATTCATGTTTTCCTTGGAGAACATTTTGTTGTATAACTATATTTGCATACCATAATAGAAAAGTTTGCTTATCATGACTGATTGGTAACTTCACCATTGAGTGTTAACATTTAAATATTTCTTAAGTTTAAAGGTGGAACCCAAGACTAAAGGATTAAAGCAGCAACAGCAGCAGCATAAGAAGTTACTGGCAGCAATGCTTTCTCAAGATTCTTTCGAGTCCATCCATAGCCCTACTCCGTCTGTAACAGAAGAAGATATTGATAATGAAGATGATGCAATGGAATTGCTGGGTAATTTTAAAAATTAATAATTTCTCTCTTCTCTAGAATTGTGAAGTTGTGTAGTGATTCAGAAATTGAAAGTTAAGAATAGTTATGTTTTAGAGTAAAGGAACAGTTTTACACCTATTTACATTGGAATTTCTTGAAGTTTCATGCAAGAACTACGTTGAAATAACCTAAGCATGTGAAGTATCTATTAGACTGCATTTTGTGCTTTGTATATGCAGCACTTTACATTCTAACTATTTAATCAAGCTTTATTCTTTATGCAATTGTGATATAATTCATCTCTTTGCTTTATTCTTACCTTATAATGACTTCGATCACTTATTCGTCTATAAATGTATCCACAATACATTATCAACGACATCTCAAAATGTCCCTCCCTTATTTCAAGGGTTTATTCAAAGATAGCTTAGATTTAAATGGGCAAGTAGTATATTAATGAAAACATTAATGTTATATGTCTCCCACATTGACAGGTAAATTTGTAGAAATTTCAATGTTTTGATAGGTCTGTCATTTTTCAAAATCCTTGTTAATGTATATGGAGGAAATATTTTATATCTGTCAATGAAGCAAATTTGTTTTGGTTTCATCAGAAAACACTTCACAGTAACTTTTAAATTAAAATTCATTTTGGAAAATAAATTTTTAGTTTGAAACATTGAAAAATGATTTTTCTAAATGAAGGAAAGAAAACTAATTTAGAGGGAATGATTCACATAAAGAACAATGTGTTTTAAATTTATTGACACCAATTATTCGACTCTAATAGAAAATTTTAAAATAGTTCATAGTGATACATTAGAGAATAAATAATAAAACATTTGATGTGTAGGACACAATGATCTATAAACATATAAACATTTTAAATTACTTTTGTGTAAATCTGATTTTGTTTTGATTGTTTATGATTTTAGGATGCCATCATTACAAAATGGTATAGGTTTTCATACATAGCCTTTCAAATTACTAATAGTCAAATGTAACATATTCACTGTTGTCTCCTCATTTTATGATGACCGCATTTATTTTAGCATTGAGAAGACTGTATCATATTTTTACTTCTTTTTCCATTCAGCTTCTAAAAATCAGTTAATCTTGAGTGGTAGTACTAGAAGAATCTTCTCTCCCCACCCCTGAATCATTAATTTCACATATTGTCAGACATGGTAGTGATTCTCAGTTTCCATTCAACAAATATTTACTTTCCATTTCCTATGTCCTAGGCACTGGACTCATAAAAGTTATTTATTTAAAATAAAAGAATCATGGTTTCTCTCTGCAAGAGCTTTACTTACTAGTCTTCAGGATAAAAATGTAAATACATTATTCTAATAGCTGTACTTATATCATGCTAATAGTTTGCTATAGGTGCTAACTGGATTAAGCACATGGTTGTACATAGGGGAAAGACCTAAAGCAAAGTAAGGGATGGGATTAGAAAATTTTTGCTAGAGTGTCAGTTGCGTTCTAAGGACAAATGGATGTAAATTCAACAGAGTGTCACCTCTATTAACTTTTCTTCCATTGGAATGGAATGCAATTGTGCTCCAAGATTGCCTGGAAATTGTTCCTCTGCTTTAGCAGTAGCAGTAAACAAGGAAACCTTGAGTAGTGACTCAAGGAAAAGCTAGAATAATTTATTGCCTTTTTGTAACATCAATGTTGATGTGGCACAGTGACCTTGAGTGATGTTGATATACTGCACATAGTCTCCTTTCCTGAAAGGTAGCTCATGGTTGGCTGAAATCTACATGAAAGCTCTGTCATACAAGAAGATTATTTTAAGGAGTTTCAGCCATGTATATATAACTTGAGCCATAGTCTTAAGAATATAGAGGTCTCAAGAATATAGAGGTAAAGTGGAGCCATAACACCACTTCATTGATTTGAAGGGAGTGTTTAAGGAGAACCAAGTATTAGCTCACAGCAGATAACCTTCCTTGTCCCAATTCCACTCTGTGTTTTGATGTTTCTATTCTCCCAAGCTGGAGAGAAGAGATTGAGTGTTGTAGACTTTCTAGTTATGAACTTCCTATTATTATTAATTGGATCTCATTTATAATTTTTATTTAGATGTTTTAGCTTGCTATCTGAACTGTTACAAATGTGAGAAACACTTAATAGTATAGACTTTGATCATGTAATTTCACATGAAGTCTCAGAAGAGGTAGCTTATGATGTGCTAATGTTGATATCTAAGTTATGAATTTATCTGCAATGATATGGAATACACTATATGCAGCTTACCCTGTTGCTCATCTAAACAGTGATCACATTGAAATTCTGTTGGGTGGTATTGGTCCTGTACTGGGGAGCATAGGGTTGCCTACCAGAAGATTATGTGGCCCAGAAAGTTCATCAATTAAGTAAAATGCTATTTGTATATGAAATACATTAGTCTTTAAGGCTAAAATACTCCTTCCATTAATTATTTTATTTTCAAATATAATCAAAAATTTTCATCAAAAGTAGTGTGCAAAAACATAACTTAAAATGTTACTAAAGCTTATAGCTAAATGAATGAATATGAAATCAAAAATCAAAAATAATTTTACTAAACTCAAGAGTTAAGAATTTATCTCTCATAGTATGGTAATGAGTAAATATATAAATTGTGAGTATATTATAAAATGTTTATTATTTGATTTTATGATCTACCATCTTTAGTTACCATTTAATATATATGTTTATTAATATTTCATTGGATTCAAGTCTTACACTATTTAACTCATGCAGGACTCCTAAATCAATTTCGAAAGATTATAATATCCATCTTCCTAGTTTACTTAACATTAGATTTTATTATTTTATTTAATTATTAAAATATTTTAAACAATGTTTCCAAAACTATAATAATAGAGAAACATGTGATGATACCCATTTTAGGAAAATAATAATGACAAATTCTTAAAAATTTAATTGAAATCAGATTTTAAGATAGAGAATCATTGTAAAATCTAAAGGAAATATCTAATATTTGAAATATCTTTTAGAAACTATTTAAGAATGAGTTTGCTACATCTTTGTATTTTAATGGCTTAATCTTTCATTATCATTTACATCAGGATATAAGTACAAATACTTTTTAATGCATGGGAATCACCGTATTATTTGTGAAGTGATATATGAATAAAAAGGCTTAGTTAAAGTTAGTATTAAAAGGATTATTCCTCTCTAAGCAGGAAAAGTCTTTTAGTTGTGAGTATATTATAAATGGTATCAAATGGTTTGACCAAATGGTAGAATTTGGTCAAACCATTGATTCTTATTTTATTAAGAAACCATTGTTAATGTGATCGTAGTTATTAATATTCAAATATTTATAGTTGTTTATGTGTGAAAATATTTTCATACAACAGTTATAGATTTTACATGGATTAAAACTTTCCTATAAAATTTTCATGAATACCACTGATAAATACATAGTACAAAGGTAGCTTAATGCAGTTAATATATATATATATAAATAAAATATGCAAGTTTATAGAACTTTATCATACAACAATTTTAAGCATTTTTTAATACTGTCATTCTAATTGAAGCATTTAAAAATGATGTATCTTCAAGGAACCTCAAGCTAAGTAGTTCTCACTTCAAATGTTATTCTTAAATGTTTTAACAGTTGTGCTAAATGTTTCTAAAAATCAATTATTTTTTCAAAATTAAAAGGCAAGTTAAACTGGTGCAACAAGAGAATACTTGATGCACTAGTATTCAAATTTGAGTAACTTTTATATTTCAGTTTATATGTAGATATTTCAGTTTATAAACTAATATGTCAGTTGAAAATATGATATTTTCATAATATTGATTTTAATAAAGTTTTTCACAATAATTTATTAATTCAATATTCCAACACTTATTCCACCACCATAACGTCTTCGCACCACCATTATTTCAAATTTTCCTAATCACCACCCAAGCCTGCCCCAATAGCAGGCCTTAAATAATTTATTTTGTATTGCTTGTTGTGGATAATTAACAAAAATGATCAAAGAAGTTTTCCTTAGGAGAAAGTGTGTGAAGATTGTTGTATCTCAACCTGGATTCATTAACCCTTGTATGGCATTACTAATATATTGCTACAGGTTGACTCTTGTATGCAAATATTTTTTAATTGAGATTGGTTGCTTTCTTCTTTACATCCCATCCAATGTGGTATGTGACTCTTGGTACCTCAGTGGTATAGAGTATGAGATGTCACGAGGATTTCAATTATATTTTTTATTTTTCTACATTATTTGCACTCATTTTGCAAAATCATAAGTAGTTTTAAGACACTCTGCCTTTCTTACACAATTATATGAATGGAAGTTCTTTAGGCTTATTCAAAATTGATGATGAGGCAAATAACTAAATTTCACATTATGCTAAAAAAGAAAGTCAGATTTGCCATGCTTTATATTCTGTACTATAAGCTACTGATTATATATAATCAAAACTAGTATTTTATTACAAAAACCAAGGTAATTACATATATTATGTACTTTAAATTTATTATTAAGAAGAACAAGTTTAATTATACTTTTATTCTTTTGAAGTACACAGTAATTGATTCTAAAACCTCAGCATTTATATAAAACTTTGAAATGATAAAAAATTTTCCAGAGGGGCTCATTGCAGTGGAAATATTACTTGGCATGTTATTTTTGCATTGTATTGAGCCTTTTTGAAGTAAACATTCATTCTATTATGTTGCTAAAGTAGTGTCTTTTAAGTGGAAATTATCCACATTTACAAAATAAGAACATGCATTCCGTGTACTGATATGGATGCTGTTACTCAATCATATTTAAAAAGAAGAGGTATGTAGTATCAACCTCCCCACTCACATATAGGCCTCTGCTTGAACAACCTAAAGTATCTCAACAGATCATAAAAAGATATATATATATATATAAACCTTGTTTCTTTTGAGTATTGATTATTGATAATGTCAGGATAACAGAAAAACTGTTACTTTAAAATGAATGTTCTTCATGAAAGAACTCTTACAAGTC